GGAGGGGGGGGGGTCATGCATCTGGTGTATCCGTGTGTCTTTGGGGGAAAATGGAAGATTTGAGCATTCCGTATTTACTCATCATCCAGGGAGAACCTGGTGTTTCCCAATAATGTGATAGTACCCGAAAGTAGGTCATGCAAAAATGTCGTAGTAACTTGAATGTTTCCGAGAGCAAGGGACAATTGAAATCTGTAGCTGTTTCAATTTTTTTGTGTATCTGACTGAAAGCAGGCGGGTAAGTTATTTGATCACGTGATTCGTCCTTCCAAGTAGCTCACCTCAACGGACACATTCTTAGTAATAATATTCTTTTAGATTTTGTGTGTGAAATGAACAGATCCCCTAGAAATTCGTTATATTTAACACCCGAAAAATTATTTTATCTCGTGAAGTTTAAAATATTTGTTATTAGAAACCCCCGAAGCTAGTTGAATGCATATCCCCTTGTGTTATTTTTGGATAGACAAGTCTTTTTCTCTCGAAATCTGTTAAGAACGGAAGACATTTCTCCCAGAGAAATCAATCATTTGCTAATTTTTGGGTTTACTGATAAGATAACAGAATGTGGCCTCCGGATATTTCAACAAATGGTTCTGATACTCGTGAAATACGTTGGCTGCGGTCAGTCGTGTTAAACTCCCCCAACAGATCGTGTAACTCATGCGCGACCAATTAACGACCGGATTAAAAAGAAGACGCGTGGTTGCCACAGACGTGGCACAACAGATATACCAGCAGAGGCTGATGTATATTTTGATTAAGTTACGAAAGCGATAAAAACCAATGCCCGCAATGACTTACCTAAGAAACGAAAGCGGAAAGTGAATGTCGACTCGTGCAAGGATACAGTGTTCGCAAGAATAGACTCCCACCGCGTTGATAGGAGAGTGACAACGTGAACATACAAATAGATTATGCAGAAAAATTGATGTCGGGCAAAAGACAAAAATTGTCTGAATTTAATCTTATAGTCACTCGGCCAGACTACACAGATGTCACGTAATTTGTTTGTCCTCGTTTGTTCTTTATTACTGTTTTCCGGACTAGTTTCCCATGTAAGCTTTGGTTATTCAGTTATTGATTAAGTAATCTGACTTTGTCATCTTAAGTGAGACTTGACCGGAGTTTATACTATAATTTCCTGAGCACAGAAAATAGATTTTTCAACCACGTTGAGATCGAGAATGTTGGACGACAAATGTATACGTTCCAAACCAAAATGATCCATAGTCTCGGAGGTCTGTTGGGAAATATAAAAAATAACAAGGTATTCTTTTTTCTCGGCCAAAAGCTAACAAATCGCGTGTGAGCCACGGTCCATTCGCCTGCCAAATACTCAAATTCGCAGATTAAAATTTTCTAGACTTAGTCACAGTAGGACTTTCCCTTATGACAGCTTTTAGGAATGCGTTTGTTTAATCGGATTTAAGGTCTGAGAAGCGATCAATTTAACACCGTGAATGGAGACGGGCAAGCAAGAAAGCGGAAGATTTATTGAGTTCAAACATGCAACTTTATAGACCGAAAATTTCGAGAAGAGTGAATGGATGATAGGTCGGTAGATTAAGGTGTGATGCCGGATCTAATCCGGGCCTATTTGACCTGCTGTAGAGTTTACCATGGTTTATTTTCAGCTAGTTTCAATGAACTGACGCCTTGGCTTTTAACAGTGAATGAAATGAAATGAATGAAATTCTAACAACCATGCGTCAACGCCGATGTTACCGTTTCAGTGCTATAGCGATTGTTACGAGAAGCCGTTTGGTGGCTCTCAGGGTATAATACCAAAATGGAGCTATGGAACATCAGCACAGAAATTACCATAAGTTTACTACTTAGTTCATACTCTGCGATCTGCCAGTACAGCCGATTGTATCCTACGTTGAACTAATCTGCAGTAGAATTGAACAATTATCAACAAACAATGATTCATTTTCTTTTCTTTTTTCTTTTTCATTTTAATTCGTTTTATTGAATACACATTGATACAATTTTCAGGAAGGGAGAAGCGATCAATCAAAGGGCTGCCATGGGGAAAGTCAGGCGGTGGTGGTAGGCTTCGAACACACGTCCCCCGAAGTGGTAATCTGGTGACGTTACCACCAAACCACCACCGCCCTATCTTCAAAGGCTCGTTGAATTTTATTTCTTTGGTACGAGAGTTCTTTTATTTGCTTTCTTTTCATTGAATATATAACGTTAAAGGTAGATTTTCATGAAGGATGATGAGTGGCCAATCAGAAGTCCGACAGAGATGAGAGTGAGAAAGCGAGACATAGAATTGAACTAAGTTTAACTTTTCCCGGTTCCATAGACACACAATTTAGCTTTACCACTATTGGATTTTGGATACACCGGTGTTGGTCTAACCTTACGAGCCATTGTCTCACATGTAGTCCGTGTGTTCGAACCCCGACGCAGTTACCCCCTACTATCATATTTGTCGTTTTGCAGGCCACGTTTCCCTTCTTACATGTTGGTCGTCTGTCGGATACAGTGAAAGACTGAACATTGCCAATAAAAATATTCGCTATAAATGATGAGTGTGACATGAATAGAATATTAAATCCCTGTTGGATTTCTGTGAATGGTCAGTGAATGTGGCACGTAAACAAAAATCCTTGTGATGCAGAAGTGGAACCGATTATCAAGGGTAGTCTAATTATTGTATTGTTTTGGTTGATCCAAAGTGCAATCCGAGTTCAAACAAATTCTCTATATGAGGAAATTAGCTTATTTTAGCCACGACGAATGATCATTTGTCGTGGCTAAGACAAGCTAATTTCCTCAATAATCATGAGCACGACGCCCAAGTTTTTCAGTGAGATTCGTTCCATCCATGGATCTCGTGTGGATAGAGATTATTTACATTACTATCCGCCATCACGTCCATCCCAGCGTTTGGATTTCAACTCACAAAACACTTGCCTGATAAATTAGGAGTGAACCGTTCTCAAACTCACGAGAATTACGGTTTACTAATGCCTTATACGAAAAGTTGCTGTAAAAGGGCTACGGTCCGTCGTTATCAGCTGCGGTTTACACATGTGCCTTAGTTGGAGCCGTGAAATATTCTTATTGAATGACATCTAATGTTTCGAAGCAATACTGCTCATTTACTTAAGCCTACATCATTCTGTAGAAAACATAACGCTCATAAAACTCTGGTAGGTGTATTCCCATGGATTAAGCCAGAAGCAGCTGCCATTTAAACTCTCAATACAGTAGTAGTATATACGTACTACAAACATCGCAATAAGCATAAAAGCAGCTTCCCTTGGTGCATATCCATCGCGCCCCGTTTGACCGGCTATGGTACAATCCTGTGTTGTCACACATTATCGAATTGAGGAATTTATTCGTTAATAATGTCTTTGTTCGTTGGTCTATGGGATAAGAATTAATACTACTTGAACACTCGTGAATTTACTCCCCGATTTGATTCAAACACACCTGATTCTCTCGGTTTCTAAATTCACAAGCAAAATAAACGGGATGAGTGATAAATTGCTTTTAAGTGTTCCCCTCCGTTCAAAATATCCGTCCCATCACTTCTAAGTACCAACATACGTTTCTTGTTTGTGAAAATCTCCGATTTATCACTTGTTCTCCGGTCTCGGATTCATGTTCATACTTGTCTGATTTGCTGACAAGAATCTTGGCTGAACCCATATTTGATGTTCATCGATGTATTTAACCTGTGCTGGCCCGGTAGAGTTTTCTGTGGCAAGAGACCTGGATTAGATTCCCTGAAGTAGTTATGGTTTACCGTTGATACAAATCTAAAGAGGTCTTTCTATATTTAAAACTGTGTAAAGAATTTTCATTGATTACCTTCTCAACTTCAAAGAATTTTATACCCGTTGATGATCTATCTAAACAACTGTGTGAACTGCACATGTCCGCATATGAAAAATTTGCACAGAAATTCCTCTCTGACCGCACTCATCCTTTACATGGTGATCTATCCAGGGGCCTCTCTAACACATTCACGCGTTATACGTATCATTTATTACCCGCTCGCATTAATATCTATAGAAATTCTACAGTGCTTTTTCGCGTCAGAATCCTTGCAAACCGATAACGCATTTCTTTTGAATTTCTCAGCAACCTTGGAGGTTGAATGTTTTGCTTGTTATTTCCTTTTTTTGATGAAGTATTGTGTATTTTTAACTTAGATGTGGACATCTGTCCATGGAAAGTCTAGGGAAATACCAACATGTAGCGATTTTCATTGTGCCACATCTGACTGAGCCCCATAAGACACGATTTCAGCCAAAACAAAAAATACACGTTGAAATTAAACAATGCTGCACAATGAGGTTGATCGTTCAACCGGATATTGCTTGACGTGTACCGAATTAGTTTCTATTGGTTCAATTACGACTTCGACGTTTTAATCAAGATTCCCGGTCGTTAGACCGGCGCATAATTCACTTCACCCATAGAATTTCCTTTCACTCCATACCCTTTCTTCAACTCTCTTCTGATTGGCTTTGTGAGATTGAAAAAGCGAATTCCCATCTGCACTTAGAATAGAGTTCGTTTGCTTAAGAATTTAACATAATGTGCTTATACATATGCAGATTCACCTGATTCTAACACCTTATACTTACCATAGTTACCGTTTAAACCGAATTCTTAGCCTAGCTAAAGCACTTTAAGAGAAAGCTCATTATTTTACAGCATTCTCAATCGCACTGCAAGTTCGTAGTAACTTATAAGTCAACTTCAACGGTGAAGTTTGAAACAAAACAATCAAACAAACGAGAACCAAATCGCTATTCATTCGAGCCATTGCTTTTTATTGAATCACTGTGCATTCCCAAGTATAAAGACGCTTCCGGGGGTAGCGCTATCTTTGGGCAGTTTTAAGCTCACATATCCATGCACCAACTGAAAAATTGAATGTTTATTGAAGCATAAGTGGAATATGCCTCAATTCCCCCAGAAAAACTACGCGTTCACGCGGCATAAATTACCTATTCCAAGAGCTTATTCCGATTTTATTATTGCGCTTCCCAGTTTGCTACTGTAGCAAATGAAATAAATGACACTTTCGGTCGCACATTCGGTGACCATTCACAAATTACTGCGTTTTACTTCACTGGAGAGACGATTTCGCCATCCCCAATTTGTGACATTCAATTTGGTCAGTATATCGGAGTTATCTTTACAGAAGGCCGTTAGTGAAACTAAAATAAATTGTTCCTTTCACAAACCTTTATCCGATCTGAAGAGATTCTATTAGTTGGACAATAGAAAACCTAAGTCTTTCCAGACGAATGTTTTACTATTCAACTCATCTTGAGTGGCACTTCGAATCTACCGGAGAAAACCATGTGCGAGTTAGTCGCCAACAAAGCCAACTAAGGTGTTTTGT